ATGGCCACTGCTTCCTCTACCCATTATCATCCTCTGGGGGATAAAGGGACGTTTTCACCCATGTTTCCCCTGTGCTTCCTAAAATAATATAGAAATTCAGTAAAAAAGTAGACAATGGAATAAATGATTCGATGAATGAGTAACTAAAGCCAGGCGTAGTAGTACGTGCTTGTAATCCCATCACTGGTAAGGCAGAGAAGGGCAGATTTCTAGACTCACTGGTCAGCTTTCCTAGCCTACTTGGCAAGTTCTAGGCCAGGAAGAGACCATCTCAAAACCTAAAGGGCAGAGCCTGAGAAATGACAACTTAGGTTGTTCCCTAGCCTTTACATGAGTACACACATAATGCCTACCTGTACACACCTGAGCGCACACACACACACACACACACACACACACACACACACACACACACACATACACACATACACACACACACACACACACACACACACACACAAATAGAACAGAGTAAAATAAAACAGCTAATGAAAGAACAGAGGGAGAATTACTGAGATCTATTACTCCAAGAGTCACAGTCTTCCCTGATAGTGAAGCCAGACAACCAAACAGCTATCTGGAAGCAACATGTAAATTATGAACCCAGTGTCCCAGAGTCCCAGGAGAGTCCAATTTTACAGTAGTCAACCATGAAGGGCAGTCTCCGACATCTTTCCAAGAGGGAGAGTTGCTCACTGCAGTTCTGACTGTCCAAGGTGTCAAGCCCTCACTACACTCCATTAGCTAAACCAACGTGGATGGTGGTGTAGTTTCATTTCTGTTGCTGAGATAGAATACTCTAACAAAATGCAAATTAAAGGAGAAAAGGTTTATTTCCACTTATAATTCCAGGCTATAGTCTACCATAGCAGGAAAATCAAGGCATCAGGCCCTTCAGACAACCAGCTAAATATATCCACACTCAGGAGCAAAGAAAAATGAATACACACATGCTCACTCACTTGCTTGTGCTCAACTTGATTTTTCAACTCTTCTACACTTCAGGACATACTGTTTAATAAATAGTGCTGTCAATGGGGCTGGGGCTTCCTGTATCAGTTAACTTAGTTAAGACAGTCCCTCAAACACACGTCCACTGGCTGACCTAAAGTAGATAATCCCCCGTGGAGTCACCCTCCTCAGGTGATTCTAGGTTGTGTCAAGTTGACAATTAAAGCTGGCCATCACAGATGGCTAACAAGAGATTCCCCAGCTCAGTTGGAGGCCAAGGTACTCCTGCTGTTGTACCAACTTAAAGGGCAAACAAAAAGAGGCCTCTCCAAAGAACCCCGAGTTTATTATAGAGCATTAGAAGGCTGTAATTCGGAATGTGTGTTTCATGGGACTATAGGTATATCCAAGGAAGATGGGGTTAAGTCAAAAGAAAAAACTTAAAAGCAAAATGGTGAAGCATACATAATCTGTTCTGAAACTAAGAGGACAGTGGTCCAGGAACTTATCTCAAGAGTTAATACCAGTATTAGTAGAGAAGGTTTATATGGAAGTTCCTACTGTTCGTCAACTTAACAGAATCTAGAATCACCTTGAAGTGATTGAAGTCTCTGGGCACACCTGCCAGTGATTATCTGGATTGGGTTAACTGAGATAGAAAGACCCATCTAAATGTGAGCAACACCATCCCATGGGCTGGGGTCCTGGACTGAACACAAAGGACAAATTGAGCTGAGCACCAGCATCCATTGCTCTGCTTCCTGACTGTGAATGTCATGTGACCAGATGCCTCATGCTCCTGCTGCCATGCCTTCACCACCAGGATGGACTGTACCCTCAAACTGTGAGACAAAATAAGCCCTTCCTTCCTCCAGTTGTTTTCATAGGGTATTTTGGCACAGTAACAAGGTAAGTAATAATGCAGAGTATTAATAATAATATATAATAATGACAAGCTAGAATTTGGAAAATCCTTGATTGAAGTTTTTGTTTGTTTTTTTATAGGCTTGTGTGTATAAGAACCTATTTGTCAGTCCCACAATAGGCTTATTTCCTACCTGAGAACAAGTTCTTGCAAACTTTAAATCTGTTTCTTAGGCCGGGCGGTGGTGGCGCACGCCTTTAATCCCAGCACTCGGGAGGCAGAGCCAGGCGGATCTCTGTGAGTTCGAGGCCAGCCTGGGCTACCAAGTGAGTTCCAGGAAAGGCGCAAAGCTACACAGAGAAACCCTGTCTCGAAAAAAAAAAAAAAAATCTGTTTCTTAGACTAAACACTTCTGCAACTAATTCTCAGTTATCTGTGTCCATAGGAGATAACCTGCACAGTTCACCTTAGTCAAAGCTAATTTATGTTAGTGAATGCTATTCTTGGAAAGATGCAGCACAAACCTCTGTTCACCCCACATGGAGAATGGACACCAACCAAGGAAATGATACCACAAAAGTCTGATTTGGAGAACCAATGAATTTATTGAAGTTACTTACAGGAGAATAGTTGAGGGATGGTTTACATAATGAGGAACAACTCAAAAGCAAATGTATCACAAAGAGCCTACACGGATGCACAAAAACTGGAATCCTGGTGTTCTCTGTATGACTTGTAGGCAACCCAAAGGGTCAGAGAATTTCTTCCAGACAACTTGACTGATCACTGTTTCCTCAGTAAGAGGCATTGTACACTGGGTAAGTTTCAGGGACTTTCTGAGACTTATCAATTGTTTACTTCCTGAGTCTGAAGGAGCCTTCCATTGGAATTTTCTGAGTTTATAGAGCTTCCTTCCAGGATGGAAGTTTGAACTCAGAGGATATTGCTACACAACACCAGTACAATGCTGTCTGCTTCATTACCACAACACTGTCACTAATACGACCTCTTAAGTGGCCAATAGCATGCTCCATCATCACAACACTGTCACTAATGAGTCCAACGACACAAGTCACAAGTCTTAGAAAAATATTCAAATAACCACATGGAAGAATATAAATTTTATAACTATGCCAGTCAAGGGATTAGTTCCCTAATATTTATTTGGAGAAAGTTTGTGATAAAATCAAGACCTTGTTTTGTTGAAGAAAGAAGACACCTTCAGTTTGGAGAGTATAGAGTAGACATGCAGTTTCCCTTTCCTCCACTGAGAACTTCTCAGTGTTGTTTGCATCTTAAATGGCCCTCAGGGGGCTGGAGAAATGGCTCAGTGGTTAAACATTCTTGCTACTCTTGTAGAGGACCCAAGTTCAGTTCCTAGCACCCATGGCATGTAGTTCATGACTACCTGCAACTCCAGTTTCAGGGGATCCAATACCTTCCTCTGGCACCTGTACATTTGTATGCACATACCCACATACCTGTGGGGAGCAGAGGAAACCCTGAGTGATTGCATAAGGAGTGGATGAAGTCCTGAGTGAATGTATGTCATTGAGAAGGATCCGGCCAGATGCCTGAGATCCACAGGAATTGGCAAAGCCTTCCCCAGGTCAGCTCAAGAAGTTGGTAAAGCCTTGGTCTGTGTGTGAATGCTGACAGAGTGTACAGAGGGCATCAACTTCAGCTTCCTTCTCTCCGTTTACAGCCTGAGACTCCCCTCCTACAGAGACCTCCTACCAAGACTAGCCAACTGCTCCTCCCCATGTTATGTAATAAAAGCACTGAGGTTCTGGCTTGTAATGCAATTTCTACTCTCCATCAAAGTGTACACAACCTATCTATTCCCAGCTTTTCTGTACATGTGTCTGTCTTTTCTTCATTCCTTCATCATCCCAAGTCAGGTTTCCAGAACCAAACCATGATGGCTGCAGCTCACACACAAATACATACATAAATAAAAAGTAAAATAAATCTTTAAATATCTTCACTAACGGTCAGGTGTTTAAAGTTTAGTCCCCAGTTGGCACTGCTGGGAGGAATGGAACCTTTAAGACATAGAACCTAGTGAGAAGTTTTCTAATTATTGGAGGTGTGTCCTCAAAGGAGACTGGACACACCAGCCCCTTCCTCTCTCTTTTGTTTCCTGTCTACAAAGTAAGTGGGTCTGTTCTACCATATGATCCCACCAGGAGCTGCTGCCTTGTACTACACCCAAAACAGTGTCAGGCCAATGAATTGAAACCTCTAATACCATGAGCCAAAATAAACCTTTCTCTGTATAAGTGAACTATCTCAGATATTTTGTTATGTTAAAATGAAGCTAAAGGCCCTGGAAATTATAAATGAACAAACATAAGTAGAGTGTGAACAGCATACAGAAGAAAGGAGATGCCCTGGGGACCTCGGATCCCAAGGCACACAGTGGTTATGGGTTGCCTAGGTATTCTTTGTGCTTCTGGGACCCCATACACAGTGCTGAGGAAGCTGGTGGTCTGGAAATAGCAAGAGCCCACAAAACATCAATACCATTACAAAATCTTACTTTTCTCGGTAAAAGTACCAAGGGGACAGATAAACCTGATTGAAGACTGATTTTCAGTTAGTCAATCATCTAGTTAATCCAGTCAAACAAAACAGAAAAACAAGCTTGGCACCATTGCGGCAGCAAAGGTCTGGTGGCAGCTGAGCTTCAACCCTTGCTGACTTGTAGCAAGGGGCCTGAACTAACTCACTGGATACTGTCTAAGAGGGCAGAGTCAGAAGGCAGACTGTCACCATCCTGAGCAGTGCCCAGGTTCAGCATGGCTGTAGTGTGAGTGGATGCCAGCTGAGAAGCCTAGATAAGCTCACTGGCAAGACTCACTCCTCCATGCCAGTCAGAGGAGGGCTGTGGGCGAGTATAGATTTCCATCACCACCCAGTAGTGACATGAGCTGCTTCCATATAGATTTCCATCACCACCCAGTAGTGACATGAGCTGCTTCCATATAGATTTCCATCACCACCCAGTAGTGACATGAGCTGCTTCCAGTGTACACGGGAGCAGTAACACAGCACACTGTCCTACAAGCTCATACAGTGAAGGTCTCATAGGGAACCAAAGTCCAAACCCTGCTCAGTCATAACAAAGAGACTTCACTCCTTCAAGTGTCAAGAGAGAACAAGTTCAAGGTTCTATCCTTACCTGGAAAATCAAAGGGTGAGCTCTCAACCCCTGAAAGAGCAGCATTACAAAGCACAGCTGAAATAGAAAGTATACATACATAAGACCTAGATTCTCAGACAGGTCCAGTTTTTTTTAATCATCACAGAAAATATAACATAAATATAATACAAAAAAGGAGGAAAATCTCACCTGGAATGGACAGAAAAGTAGACACCCATACAAAACAATATAAGAATTGTTATGACTTAATTCATCAATGGAAAGTTAAGAGCACCTTTGAAACAAGTGAAAATAAAGAATCATTCAACAAGAACGAAGATAACTTAATGGGAAGCAGACGCTCTAGAGAACCAGGTAGGAATTATAGGACTGGAAATTACACTGACTTAAATGGAACATAACATATTGACTCAACAGAAGAATACAGAAATTGAAAATTTATAAGCTAAAGATAGAACAAAGGAAATTAAACATTCGGAACCATGAGAGTGAGAGCAAGAGCGAGAGCGAGAGCGAGAGCGAGAGCGAGAGCGAGAGCGAGAGAGAGAGAGAGAGAGAGAGAGAGAGAGAGAGAGAGAGAGAGACTATATATGCAGATACAGAGTGTAAATGTACTGTAGTGCAGACACTCTGAGTGTTATTTCTTTTTTCTTTTTTGCTGTTGTTTTTTGGTTTGGTTTGGTTTTTGTTTGTTTTTCAAGACAAGGTTTCTCTTTGTTACAGTCCTGGCTATCTTGGATCTCACTTTGTAGACCAGGCTGGCCTCAAACTCACAGAGATTCACTTGCCTCCCAAGTGCTGGGATTAAAAGCATGTACCACCACTGCCCAGCTCTGGGTGTTATTTCTTATTACTGCTGCCAACACAATTATCTCCAAATAAAAACTTAATGAAAAAATAAAATGGAAAACTGGAGAAATTTTGAAAACTGGTTCACCAAAGATCAAATTAGCATAGTAAATAAGGCTGAAAGGGAAAGTGAACCTTTATAGTAGTTTAATCAAGACAGAGTTTTGTTATTGTTTTCGTGTGTGTGTGTGTGTGTGTGTGTGTGTGTGTGTGTGTGTGTGTGCCTGAGACAGGGTCTTATGTAGCCCAAGTTTGCCTCAGACTCACTATTTGGCCTAGGATGACCTCAAATTTCTGGTCCTCCTGCCCCTACCTCCCAAATGCTACAATTGCAGATGTGCGATATAGTGGGTAGCTGTTCTAGCTTTGACCTTGAAGCACCACCCCTAGTGAGGTAGCAGGTAACTGCTACATCTGCCTATGACCTTGAAGCATATGCCCCCAGATGTTTTTTAAACAAGAAACAGGTTCCTAGCAAATTTTCTACATTACAAAGGAAAACTTGTGAGTGTAGCAAGGGGGTGGGGTTTGAGTGGTGTGACAGCTTTTTGTCTAACTCTTCAGAAGTATCTTTGTACACAAAACTACACAGTATATGAAATACTTCCCATGGACTGTCTCAGCTACTTCTTGCTGGCTCTTATAAAGCATGGACTCCTCTGGTCCCTCTTCTCTTAAAGAGCTCCTTCTCTTTCTCTCTTCACACAAATCAATTCCAATGTTGATCAGAGAAACATCTAGAAGAAAGCATAAGGAACACACTTCATGTACAAGTTCAGGTAAGGACTTTAGGAATAAGATTGTAGTCACTCACTACATAAGACCCAAATCTACAAGTGGGACTTCCTGAAGTTAAAAAGTACTGTACTGAAAAGAAAGCTATTAACTGTCTAAAAAAGCAGCCTGCAGAATAGACAGAGGACTAGTGTCTAACATATATAAGGAACTAAAAAAACTACTATGGTAGTTTGAATGTAATTGGCCCCCATAAGCTCATAGGGAGTGGCACTATTAGGAGGTGTGGCTTTGTTGGAAGAAGTGTGTCACTATGGAGGTGGGCTTTGTGTAAGGATTATGTCCTTAATTATGTCACCAGCCTGAGATGGCATCCCAGCCTAAAAAGCGGGTATGCCCTCTGTGTGTTCTCTTTTCTGCACCCTCTCCTTCCGTTCTCTTCCCTCCGTGCGATCTCTCTGTTTTCTCTCTCTCTCTCTCTCTCTCTCTCTCTCTCTCTCTCTCTCTCTCTCTCTCCCCCCCCCCCAATAAAGCTCTAGAAAGGTAACTATGGCTCATGATTCTTCTGCCAACCAGCACTCTTCTTTCTTGGCATGGCCGCCGCAGGCGGTAACCAGCCACGAGCACTGCTGCTTAACCAAAACTTTGAGGTCTCATATATGCTCAAGCCAAGCCCAGTGTCTCAGTTCACTTCTTGTTGACTTCAGGTCAAGATGTAGAACTCTTAGCTCCTTCTCCAGCACCATGTCTGCCTGCATGCTGCCATTTCCCACCATGATAATAATGGACTAAACCTCTGAACTATAAGCCACCTCAATTAAATGTTCTCCTTTATAAGAGTTGCTGTGGTCATGGTGTCTCTTCACAGCAAAAGAAATCCTAACTACCAAGAAAATAAACAACCTAATCTTAAAAATGGAATGTAGAACTGAACAGAGTTCTCAGGAAAAAAAATTCAAATGGCTAAGAAATATTTTTAAAGTGTTCACCATCCTCAGCTGCCAGGGAAATGCAACTTAAAACTACTTTCAGATTTCATCTTATCCCAGTTATACTGACTAAGATTAAGAAAAAATAAATAAAACAAATGCTGGGAAGGATTTAGGAATGGGCAACCCTCATGTACTGTTGATGGGAGTGGAAATTGGTACAGCCACTGTGGAAATCAGTGTGGTGGTTCCTCAGAAAATTAGAAATAGGTCCATCATATGCCCCAGATACACCACTGTCTTGGTCATTGTTCTATTACTGTTATGAGAAACCATGACCATGGCAATTTTTATAAAAGAAAACATTTCATTGGAAGTTTGTTTATAGTTTCAGAGGTTTAGTCCATTGTCATCATGGTGAGGAGTATGGTGACATGTATGGTGCTGGAGAAGACATTAGACTTGGCTTGGGCTTTTGAAATCTCAAAGCCCACCCCCACTGACACACTTGCTCCAACAAGGCCACACCCACCCCAACAAGGCCACATCTGCCCCAACAAGGCCACACTTGCTAATCTCTCCGATGTAGTGCCACTCCCTGATGACTAAGCATACAAATATATGAGCCTGTTGAGGCCATTCTTATTCAAACCACCACAGCCATTCATGGGAATGTACCCAAAGGACTCTATTTCCTGCTGTAGAAACTCATGCTCATGCATATTCATAGCTGCTCCACTCTTAATGGTTAGGCTGTGGAAACAACCTTGATGCCCAGCATCTGGTAAATGAATAATGAAAATGTACCTGTATACAGTAGAATTTTCTTCAGTTGTAAAGAAAAATAAAATTATGAAATTTGCAGGTAAACAGATGAAGCTGGAAAACATTATACTGAGTGAGGTAACCTAGACCCAGAAAGAAAAAAGTCCCATGTTCTATCTCACATGGATCTTTGAACGAAACTTGTGATCTGTGTTTAACCTGAAGAATCCAGGAAACTAGAAAGGAACCACTGATGAGGAGAGGGAAGAAAGATCTTAATGCAGGAGGGACACAGCAGAACACAGGCTACAGGAAGGCAAAGGGGAATATGAGGAGTGTTTGGTTGGAACCTCCAGCTCACTCCTACATAGTCTGAGAAGCCCCACCTCTCTCTTTCCCTCCAAACCCCACCCTCTCAGAGAATCTCCAACAAGAAAAGGCACCAAAAAGCCCAGTTGCACATTCTTGGCGGCTACAGCACCTCCTCCCCTGAAGCATTCAGTTTTTTACCATACTTGGGCACAAACCCAGCTTGTGGTGGACACATCATCACACCTCTCATCACCCCTCGCCTACAGACTATATAACCTCCCTGCTTTAGTTCAGGCACATGACTTCTCCAGCCTGATCTCTGGGACTGGAGAACTCACCCGTGAGTTGCTTTGCTCAAATAAACCTGCTCTTTTACTTTTTCAGTTCTGCTGGATCTTGCGTACTGTATTGGTAGAGAAACCTATTATTGGTATACACAAAACCTATTGAGGAGGAAGGGTAAAGTGTGGAGACAGAAGGGTGGTAGGGAGGAGATTGTTGGGGGAGGAATAGCTAACATTAAAAATGGGTATTTTCAAAATGCTATATAGAAACCTACTACTTTGTAAGCTTTATATATTTTTCTTTCATTCATTCATTCATTCATTCATTCATTCATTCATATAAAACAGTTTGCTTGGAGTCACCCTACAGAGGATTATGTTTACCTCAGAAGCTATGGGCTGTCAAATAACAATCCCAGAGTTGTTAGTTAGAGATGTTCTAGAGAGCCCCCAAAACAATACAGGCTACTGCCATAGCTTTTGGTTGTTCACCAGAACTTGATGGTTAAGATCCTCCAGCTGAAGACTGACTCCGCATACACTGGTCACAGGGCATGGAGAAATCAAGTCAGTACTGACCAGGAAGCTTCCTCACAGCTGGCTAGCTCTCATAGTACTGGAGGTGCTATGAGGCCGCTAGGAATAAAAAGAAAAATAAATAGTCTTACCGAATTGCTAGTCCTGTGAACTGCAATAACGACTGAGGGCAAGCTATGCCCACCAGGGCAATGGTGGCACAAGGGGTATGAGGTAACCCACCACTTCCTGATTGGATTGAAGGCCTGCTACTGGAGGAAACACATGCCTGGTACTGTAAATCTGACCAAGAACTCGTGGGCAGAGAGCTCACAAGCCCAGGGGTGATCCTGGTACTGTTACTCTGCTAAATAGGCAGAGTATCAAACTTCCCTGCAAATCCATATCTCTACAGCCATAGACAGTACAGCTCTCAGACCCCACCAGAGAATATTCCGTGTACACTCAACAGAAGTTAACACAGAAACCCACAGTCTAAATGTGGAGCATAAGTGACTATGGAGTGGTCAGCTATGAAGGGGGCATTTATACCACACTCTCTTTTCAGAGCTCAGGGAACATCATGGATCCAGAGGTCTTGGGGGCCCGGAACCAAACAGTGTCTTCTGGACATGACAGGGTCACTGCACTCGTGAACTCACAGTGGCTGTCATTGGCTGCATGAGATCAAGGCAGTCCACATTCTAGCACAGAGCAGGAAGATGTATATGAGCCACGACCCCTAACTGGGGAGTTAGGGATAGTTGATGGCTTCTAGAGGAAGGAGAATCTATTGTCTTTAAGGGCGTGGTTCCTGGTAGGTTGACCCCACCCCATGGATGGCTCCAATCCAAGAGTATAGGAACAGCATAAATTGAAGTCCATGGGATTTTAAATAAAACAAACAAACAAACAAAACCTGAGGTCATGAAATTGGGAGGAGAGGAGGGGAGTGGATCCAGGACAAATTAAGGGAAGAAGTTGTGGGTAAATTTGGTCAAAATACATTGTATGAAATTCTCAAAGAATTAACAAATTTACTAAAAAATAAATAAATAAAGATTGAGAGATAGAGCTTATTGCACAGGTCTGGGTTTATAAATGGTGACGCCTGGGTTCAGTCCTCAGTGTCACCAGTCCGATGCAGAGGTTGCACTCACAGCCCCAACACTTGCGCAAAAGACAGCACGATCCCACAGGCAGCTGTCCAGAAGGGACTAGATCAGTTAGCACATGATGCGTCGCAGCCTTCTGGCACAGTGCTTCTTCCTCTGAGCTCAGAGTCTAAGCTCCTGATCCTTGAAGTGTGCCGGCAGAACCAGAGGGACCTCCCAGAGAAGGAGGAAGCAGCTAATGGTCCTTGTATCATAGGGAGCCCTGAGTTCACAGGCTAGATCTGAGATGGTACAAAATTAGGTTGCTATGGATCTAGTATTACCAGGGTTGTCGAGGTCAGAGCCTGGGGTCAGCCCTAGTGAGCCAGGTTCAGTCACCCATCCTCTCACCACCAGGGAGACAGAGGCAGGAAGATCTAAGTTCAAGGGCATCTTCAGCTAAGTAACAAGATCGAGGCCAGCCTAGAGTTATATGAGATGCTATCTCAAGAGACAGAGAGTGAGGGAGGGAAGGGGAAATAGAGAGAGGTGGAGGAGACCACATTTCCCCTCTGTGTGAGTTTAGATTATCTATCATGTATGTATGTATGTATGTATGTATGTATGTATGTATGTATAAAATATATGTATGACATGGAAGTAAAAGCAGCAATATTAGGGAGGAGACTAGTTGGGAGACAAGAGAGGACAGTAGGGGAAAAGTATATGGTAGACATGTATGAAAATATCATGGTGAAACCCATCACTTTGTATAAAGAGTATACTCTAATTTTGAAATATATAATAAAGTCAGAGTGAAATGCCATTTCTTGAGTTTCTTTGATAGACAGTATAGTTCAGTGTTTCCTGATGACAGGAAACTGTTATAATTTGGATCTGAAATGTCTTCCAAACGTCTTTGGCTGGAGGTATAGTCTCCAGCTAGTGAGCTATTGGGAGAGGGGAAGGGAAAAACCATTCAAAGGAAACAAAGACCAGCCCCATGATCCGATGGGGCACTGACCGAGGTGAGCTCATGGCCACTGGAATATAAGGTGTTGGTGGGGGGGGGTGGGGGGTGGGGGGGACTAAGCCTGTGAGGAGAAGGGAGTGCTCATGGACCTGAATGGGCACATATGCCTTCACGGCTGATAGAAAGCGGCTGGCAGGGAAAACAGATGCCTTTGGTTCGGTTTGCTGGGGGAGGGGGACTCTTATTATTTTTTACTGGAAATCATTCTTCATACAATATATTTTGACTGTGTTTCCCCCTCTCTTCACTCCTCCTAGTCCTCCCCACATGGTTTATCACAGCCAGCACGAGAGAAATAACACCCAAGGAGAAGAGCCAGATGGCACCCCTGCCTGGGAAAGGGGAAAAGAGAACGGTAGAATCAGCTGTAATGGCGGAACAACACCTGTGTGGGGAAAGCCAGGCATGGCCGAGCCTGCCGGGCCACCAGACATGTTTTCACACATGCGTCCCCTTCAGCTCTCCCCTCGCCTCTCACACAGCCTGAGCAGTCTTCACAGAACCATCACCAGAGGAAAATGTTAATAAATGAACAAGCAATGTTTTCCTTCCAGAGTCTCCAGCCCGCTGCATACAAAGCACGGCTTCTGGGAATGCTCATTCTGAGCTCTCAGCCTGGCCCTGAACCACAGCCAACTCGAAGCTGCAAACAGGGTCCAGTTCTCACGTAATGGCCACAGAGATAAACCTTGGATCAATGTGCTCAATTGGGGAATAAGTTGCAGTTGGATAGTTCAGAATTTGTGATCTTTTCATTAGGCTAAAACAAACATCCAAACCGTCTGCAAGAAGAAGCGATTCCCTTCTTTCAGCTTTACGTGCAAGGGGGAGAGGCTTGTGAGTGTCTCTCTGTCTATGAGCACTCAGTTCAGTCAGAGAAGCATGCCCCTGTCCTTTTTAGAGAACTCATGTAGAGCTCAGACCACTCCACACTTCCAGAACAATGGAGAGGGCCTTTCAAAAGTCTACTCCACAGGTGAGCAGCCTTTCCTGCTTGGGACAGGCAGGCCGCAATAAACGAGACCTATACAAACTGCTGGCTTCCACACATCACATCAGGCTTTTGCACATGATATTTGGCAGAGAGGTAATCTCCTTGTGATGTAAATAAGTGTTATCTTGCATAAATTTCAAAAAAAAAGTACAAGCTTATCACAGCTACGAAACTATTAGGAAGATCTAAATGTGTTCTTGCAATTGTGTCCATCGTGGGGTAATATCAAGCAGAAGAAGCCCAAGGCTTGCTTAAGTCAGTCTAGTGGCTTGCTTGGAGCTCACAGCTACCGGGGTAGGTAGGGGCTTATTGTTGGGGTTCTGATTACCACAGCACCCTGCACTTACCCTTTATGTCACACCATCTCCTATAAGGGTGCACTGAGGAGAAGGAGGACAAGACCAGGGTCCTCCGAAAACTCATCATGAAAAGACACTCCACCTGGTTTGATGGCCTCTCGTGATAACGCTGCCCGTGGACCACAGCCTCCGAAACCTTCTGGAACCTACAGCATCCATAATTACTGAGTTTATCGCTGTTCTGTTTATTACTCTTGCCTGGGATGGTAGATAAGGCAAAGCATTTCCAGACAGATCAAACACAGCCATTTTTAAAGACATTCAGCTGATAAAATGCAATTCCCTGTTTCTTCATGGATCGTGTTTACAGAGTCAGATTTCTAATTCTGCTGCTTTGTTTCTGACAATAAAAAGGCATTTAAGCTATTACCAAATTTTCTGAAGCTCTGTCAAGCAATTGTATGTTCTAATTAATTGATTTTTTTAGAGTGTGTGTGTGCCTGTGCACAGACTACACATAGACAGGTGTCCTCTTCAGTCCCTCTCCACCTGGTTTTTGACACACATCTCACTGAACCCAAAGCTCACCAATTCAGCTACAGTGGCTGGCCAGCAGCAAGCTCTGCCTCCACTGCACTGGATTACAAACCCCCACCCCCATGCCTGCTTGTTCACTCACACAGGTGCTGGGTATCCAAACCCGGGCAGTTCGTCATACTTATAAAACCCAGAGCCAGCTCTGCAGTCCTTTAAAGACTGTTTTAAGTGTACAGAGCTCCTAAGCCTGGGGCTGCATGTCTTATTTTGTATCGATCAGTAGAATAAATGTTTCTCTGGGCCTCATACTCTGAGACATAGTTCAGGAAAAGGTATTGCCACTCTGCATTTCAGGTTACGGCCTCTGTCCTGTGTTTTGGTATTAATGCAGACAATGGTGTGATCCTGGGATGCTTGTGAAATTGTGTCACTGCCAGAAGCAGTCTGGAGGACCACACTCCCTCCTCATCTGCCCCTTTAAGCCTTTCGTTTTTTAAATTCGTGCCCTCACTGCGTCTTTTATTTCCTTTTTGTCTGATCACTTGTCATTTTTCTAATCCCCTGCTTTCACAGTCAAGATCATTTGGGATAATGAAATTATTGAATCCAAAACTAGCACTGATGCTCTCATTGTGTTCAATAAGAGAACTTAATCTGTGTACTGGAAAGACGTCTGAATCCCTTCCCTCTCTCCAACTTCCAGGGCTGGGGGGCTTAAACCTAAGACCCATCTCACGATAGTCCCATGCTCTACCATTGAGCTATATCCCCAGTCTTATTATTTATTCAACTTAACAAAACCTTTACCAGGAGTCTGCTCTGGGGGAGGCATTGGGTTTCAGAAATGTGGTCTACAAGGCTTCCCACTCATTGTCTTGGAAGTGAAAACGGTTCCTGGAGTTGTGGGGGTCACAACCTAGGCCCTGCAGTCCTAACAAACTAGGATCAAGCATCTTCCCTCAACAGAACAATTAAGGAGACAATAATGAAAAGCAGAGAAAGGAAGTTTGTTCAGTGAGGAGAGGAAGAAAGAGGACCAGTAACCCCACCCCCACCCCTAGTCCAGCTTCAGGGTTCTGAGGTGAATAGAAGACAAGACGTTTATGCATAGCTAAGCAGCCCTATGCAGTTCCTCCACACAGAGTCAACCCATCATCCTCTGAGTTCCTCTCTCCTACAAGGTGGTCTGACAAGTAGTCAGAACGAGGTGAAATCCCATCCCACAAGACAAGCTCCCCTGCTGGCTGGCACCAGGTTTGGCTTCTTCCCTCTCCCAGCAGGAGATTGCTGGGGAAATTCAAACTTCTTTGGGTCCATTGTTTCAATGGTTTGATAACCAAAGGGAGGGGTACAGGAGTCTTTAGAATGCCTTCATTCCAACATTAGCATAGCTAAAAAGCAAAGATTTGTCCCCAAGGACGACAATCTGATGAAATAGAAGACTAGGGGTAGGGTACCTGGAATGGAAAGGTGGTCCTTCTGTGAGGGAGGCCCAGTTCAAAAGTCTGGAAAGGCAGTCCTTCTGGTGATGGCAAAGCTCCTCCCCTAGTTGCTCTGTGCAACCAACACTGGAATTCCTGAGCATGCCGTTTGTCTCTCTCCAGTTGGCAAAGAGCTGCAGTGAATGCCCCCTCACATCCTCTGCCTCCCACACTTTGCCTCTTTTCTCTCTGCTGCTCAAGCTGCTTCTGGAGCTTCTGGAAGAATCCTTCCCTGCTGCTCTCTTTCCTCCTTCCCAACCCCCAACAGTCAAGGTCCCCAGGAATCTAGTGTCACCTTGATTGCAGGCTTGCAGGCTGGCCAAGCATCCTGAGAGTTAGCTCTTTAATCTTATCAGCGGGGGAGAGAGATTTCCCAGCATAAAACAGCAAGAGCCTTGTACACAGTTCCAAGTGTAATCTAGGAGAAGTGCTGAGAATAAGTAGCGCGATAAGCATGCCGGGATTTACTGAGATCGGGCTCATTTCAGCTGTCCTTCTCCTTTGTGAGACACTGCTCCCCCCGGGAAAATCACATCTCACGTCATTCTCAAATCGGCTGGCTAACCTTTGGAGTGCTGACTTTAATTCTTGTCATGTGTTCACCAGTGAACACCTATCATACTCAAACACTCTTTCAAAACACAATCTCAGGAATGGAGAGATGGCCAGCTGGTTAAGAGTATATGCTTCTCTTGCAGAGGACTGAGCTCCGTTCCTACTACCCACAACAGATGTTCACAACTGTGGTGGTATTGTGTTCCCCAAAATATTGTGCACCCTAATAAACTTCTCTGGGGTCAGAGACAGAACAGCCACTAGATACAAAGGCTAGAAATGGTGGCACTCACACCTTTAATTCTAGCATTCCAGAGACATAAATCCCTCTGGATCTCTGTGAGTTCAAGGCCACATTGGAAACAGCCAGGCATGGTGACACACACCTTTAATCCCAAGAAATGAGCCTTTAATCCCAGGGAGTGATGTCAAAAACAGAAAGATATGTAAGGCGTGGAGACCAGAAACTAGAAGCATTTGGCTGGTTAAGTTTTCAGGCTTTTGAGCAGCAGTTCAGCTGAGATTCATTCTGGATGAGGACTCAGAGGCTTCCAGTCTGAGGAAACAGGATCAGCTGAGGAACTGGCAAAGTGAGGTTAGCTGTGGCTTGTTCTGTCTCTCTGATCTTCCAGCGTTCACCACAATAACTGGCCTTAGGTTTGATTTTATTAATAAGTACCTTTAAGATTCATGCTACACACAACTGCCTAAAACTCTGACTCTAGGGGATCTGCCACCCTCTTCTGGTCTCCATTCATGTGCACATACCACCACACAGACACACAGACTTATACATAATTTTTTAACAAATCCATCTCCCCATCTCTCTTGCCCTTCCTCTCCAACACACAAGATCCATTTCAGAGTAGAAGAAGGCTTCCAGTTAAAGTCCCCAGGATATGCTGGACCCAAACTAGCTCTCCTTCAGCCTCTACATCCCAAGTGCTAGGAGTACAGGTGTATACCACCACATCTGGTTTTTGTGGTGCTGAGTATCAAACTCAAGGCTTCATACAGCTAAGCAAACATTTTCTCAACTGTTCTACCATGTTTTAATATGGACCATTTTTAAGGCATGCATACATTAGTCGTATCTGCTCTAACCTGTGGTGATATATTGTGAACTTCAATAAAACTTCTCTGGGGATCAGAGAACAGACTCAGCCACTAGATTAGACATAGAGGCCAGACAGTGAAGGCGCACACCCTTAATCCTTTTGAGATACAGAGATTGTCTAGATCTCTGTGAGTCCAAGGCCACACTGGGAACAGAACAGAGCCAGGCATGGTGGCACCCACCTTTAATCCCAACACTTGAGATCTCATGCCTTTGCTTGAGAAACACACATGCCTTTAATCCCAGGAAGTAAGATGGCTGGGCAGAAAAAGTTATTTAAGGTGTGAGGAAACAAGAACTCACTCTCTTGAGGCTGAGGATTTCGGAGGGGTGTGTGTGTGTGTGTGTGTGTGTGTGTGTGTGTGTGTGTGTGTGTGTGTGTAATCTATGTATGCATGGAGAACAGAAGTCAGCCTCACCATTGTTCTCTAGGTACTGACCCACCTTGTTTCTGAGACAAGGTTGGTCTAGAACTCACTAAGCCATAAGCTAGGATTGTCAGCCAGTGAGTTCTAGGGATCAGTCCTATCATTGTCTCCTTGGTGCTGGGATTGCTGGTGAGCACTACCATGCCCAGCTTTCTTTTGTGTGGAATCTGGGGATGACTCTTGGGTCCTATGCTTGCACAGCCAGCTCTTTACCAACTGAGATGTTCTAGCCACCCCAGACAGTGGCTGCAGTTACTTTCCCCAAGTGGTGTGACAGACACGGGCTGTCAACAGTAACCCTTAGGAACCCCCTTACCCCTTGAAGGGGGTGTTCCACCTGGCCTGTGGTAGAGCAGCCCAGCCCAGCCACATGACCCGTCCCGCGGGCCAGGTTATTGGGGAGACCCGAGGAGGCACCTCCTGAAAGATCAATGGGGGCGAGAGAGAAAGGAGACCAGGCGCATAAGGGAAGACAGAGTCAGTCTGAGTCGCGTCAAGGTCTCGTTTATTGACTGGGTATTGAGGCTTATAAGCAGGGCTTCAGGCAGGGAGGGGGAGCAGGGGAAGCAAAAGGAGAGAAGAATGGAAAATTCCTAAGGAAGGGTGAGGTCGCTTTGGTCCCAGGCCCCTGCAGCTGGCTGATTAGCACCTACTCCAGGAAGTTGTACAGCCCGCGGTTAGGCCAGGAACCTGTTTTTGCAAGGTTTGATAAAGTAAGGAAGGTTACACAAAATTCAAGACACAGCTGTCCGGAGTCGGTCTCCAACAGCCACACACCTGCATGTGCATGGTTACAGACAGGGTGTGTCCTGGTTACCAGGCTGCTCCCCTGCAGACCCTCAGCTCACAGGGATGATTGACAAGCAGTTTGGCAGGACAGTAGCAGGGTTTTCCAAAGGTCCTCACAGTGCCCTCTGCTCTGCAGCACGTAGGTGACCCTTTGCCCTGTGTCTGGGGCGCTTGGTGTGAGCATGATTGTTTTGTTTTTTTGTTTTTGTTTTTGTTTTCCTTCAATTAGGTTATGGCTGTGAGTTTCTTCTCTCTCTCTCTCTCTCTCTCTCTCTCTCTCTCTCTCTCTCTCTCTCTCAAAACAATCCAAAAACACCTTTGGTTTAAGGATCTTATTACCTCATTTCTTCCGTCAATTGTTCCCATCATCGACCTCCTCACCTGAACCTGGAGATAAGCCCTTTCTCACATCTGCTGCGGGAGGCAAGGGCCAGGAGCTTATAGCCACCTAATCTGACCATCAGGGTTTAATTTCCACCATCGAACAGGAGAGGAGAAATGAAGCGATGAACAGACCGCGTAGCCCCTAAACAGCCATCCTCCCTCCTCCCAGACGGAGATCCAATAGCAATTTAGTTTTATCTGTCTAGAAAATCATTATTTGAAGACTTGAAAAGGTCAAGAGAGTCTCCGTTTTCACTTCTTAGGCTTTCATCTGCGGCACAGAGAGCGCGAGGAGGCTGACAAGCGCGGGGCTAATTTGGTTCACTCAGGCGCCCACAGGGAAAATATTCAGATTGTCTCAACGAGGATCAGATGGAATCCATAATTCATGGCACACTCGGTCTCTCTCTGCTGCTAAAACACCCGCCTCCAAGATAAAAATAGGTGTGGTGAGCTCTGGATGGAGGGGAATAGAAACTGTAAAACAAGAGGGCTGGGGAGATGGCTCAGTCAGAAAACAGCTTGATCCACAAGCACGAGGCCCTGGGTTCAGATCCCCAACCACCTCACAAAAGTCACGCAGGACAGCATAAAGCACTGGGGAGGCAGAGACAGACATTCCAGGAGCTTGCTGGCCAGTCACCACAGTGAAAGCATTGTGCTCCAGTTTCAGTGAGGGACCTTGTCTCAAAGAATAAGGCAGGGAGCCACTGAGGAGAACAGGCTGATGCTGACACCTGCACACTCGTGTGCACACCAAGGAGCACATGCACACCACACAAATGTGAAATGCCCACACATGCTCTTTTATATCCAGTCAGACTCGGAACAACTACTGAGCACCTGCTGTATGATTTCTGAGCGCCTGCTGTATGCCAGGCACTTTCAGTCTCTGTCTCAGGTCTAACGCTCGAGGGGTTTAGAAAGCCTAGAGACTCAAGTGGGTAAACCAAGACCTAGAGAATTAACAGTTACAGGAGTACGGGTGTGGCCCACAGCAAGTATGCCAGGAAGCATTCCATGGCTAAAAGCATTCATTAAAAAGGTTGGAGCTGTAAAGAGTAACCAGTCTGCTTCCATTTTAGGTTTGAAAGCCATCTTATATTAAAGACAAGCTAGGTTCATTCCTGTTCATAATTAAATCTGTTTCTCAAGGATTGGACTATGTAACCTTAACTATGTAACCTGTAACCTTAACTACACATGGTTCTATACCACCTGATTCAGGAAACAGCAACCCTGTCTTTGTTCCAAAATGTTATTATGACCACCTGTTGCTATGACCACCATAAGACCACCTTGCAATTATGTCTTTGTTTCAAAAAGCTGTTGTAACCATTTTGCAATCCTACCTCTATTTCAAAGGTTGTTATGACCACCTTGTTATACCATGTCTTTGTCTCAGGATGTCATTATGACTAACTTGCTATGTTTATGTTCTCTCCTGTAACCCTGCCTATTTTGCCTGCCCCATTGGGAAACCCCCACCCCTGAGCTATAAAAACAATATCTTCCTCACATCCAATGCTGTTCTCTCAAACCCTTCCTTAGGGGGAGGCAGCCTGTGTACACAAATAAAAAAGCTTGCTTTAATTAATTTGGTGATAGTGATTTGGATCAGTGGTTTTTCTCCTTAAGTCTTTGGAATTAACAGTAACTCAGTGACAGAGCACTTGCCTAACATTCTTGAGGCTCTAGGTTCAATCCACAGAATGCCAGGATTAAAAAGGGTTAAGTGTGAAACAATAAGACGTTATGTAGCTGGAAAGTTTCTCTGGTCCCACCAAGCCCCCACAGTCCCACCAGCCTGCTTATAAAATAATCACTCAGAAGCTTATATTTACTATAACTGCTTGGCCATTAGTCCAGGCTTATTACTGATTAGCTCTTGCACTTAAATTAACTCATAATTCTTTTCTATGTTTAGCAGGGTGGCTTGGTACCTTTTCTCAGTTCTGCCTTCACATCTTGCTTCCTCTGTGTCCGACTGGTGATTCCTGACTCAGCCCTTTCTCTTCCCAGAATTCTCCCTGTCTGCTTGCCCCACCTATACTTCCTGTTTGGCTACTGGCCAATCAGCATTTTATTTATCAACCAATCAGAGCAATACATACTTATAGCATATAGAACGATATCCCACAGCAATGTTAAAAAAAAAAA